AACAAAATGGCCGCCAGTCGGCCATATTGAACTTGATCCGAAAAAAAAAATGACGTGCATCAAGGTCTTATTATGTTTAATGTATGTACTAAATTTGAACAAAATCCGTCCATGCATAACTGAGATCCTGGTCCGGAATTGTGAAAATGTGCGATTTTGATGCATTTTCGGCCTTAAAATGGCCGCTATTTGGCTATCGTTAATCGGATCATGAAAAAAATGCATGTGCATATGTCCCATATAATGTGTGATGTATGAGTGAAGTTTGAACTTAATCGGTCCATGCATGTTCGAGATACAGGTGGTGATCACGGACGCACGGATGCACGGACGCACGGACGCACACAGGGCAAAACATAAGTCCCCGTTTTCGGACTACGTCCGAACGGGGACTAATAAATAGGTAATAATAGTGACAGATAAAATACACAAGATACATTGCATTTCATGCAGGCATGAATATTTTTTCATGAGATGCTGAAATGTTTGAATTACAGGCCGAGTTACAAGTTACAAAATGACCAAATTTCAGAAATGGTGACCGCTGAACTGGGCCTGATTCTAACTACCTAAGAAAATACTGAGGGTTGTCGATTTCAGTGACACAGTAGCCAGCGCTGTGTCATTGTCTAACAAAGTAGTGTTGTTGATTTCTAACAAAGTACTTACAGACTCCCCGAGTCATATCAAGGTAAATTATAGTTTATTTTACTGTAACATAAAGCTTTCTATAAAGAAGTGATTTAATAAATGTTATATTTATTACTCAAAAATCTTCACACTATTTTGTTATAGATCTGAAAGAATCACATAATAATCACATAATGTTGCTTCATACAAAACAGCTACAAATTGAAACATTAGTGTGTTGTTTTAACGTCGCAGAGCCAGGCGGTCACCAGTGCAATGTCTGTGTTCCCGATGTAATATTTCTGTTTGTTTTTTTTGCGTCACTGAAATCGACAACAAACATGCGATTTATTGAAATCAACATGTCAGAAAACTGTTGCTGGGAAGATAGTTCCTTTTTTTTGGTAAACTTGTGTCGCTAAAATTGACAACAAAACAAGTCATGGGAGTTAATCAAAACATATCAGTGAAGGGTATGCGTCACTGGGCGTGTTTCATCGTCCGAATCGCACGGTATGTTGGTGCCGACGGATTGCCGACTTCACCAACCGTGTATTTGTTGGAAAGGCGCCCAATCAGAAGCTGTGTAACATTGCGCAGTAAGCTAAAGAACAAAATGTCGGAAATAGCGACGTTTAGCATGATTACTTCAAAATTCTTCTAGTAACTGTGTGTGTAGTGTTTAGGTTGTTTGCCAAACCCAGTTTTCCACAATTTTTGATGCCAACGTTCCAGGTTGTTTGTGGCATAATTCGTCAGCAAAGTGACAAATATTTATGTCGACCATGTTTTAACAAAGTAATGAGACTTTCAACTTCTCAGAAAACTCAATTTGACTGATCATTCAAGAGTTGAACTGTTGCACAATGATTTGCCACTCCCTGTTCTCGTTGCAACAAACTCATCTTTTTCAGCTAGTAATGCCTCAATTGCATGGTTTTGGTGATCAGTGGGGCTTTTTATCTTGAAAAACTGCATGATCTGTTCTGCCTGTGTTGCCATTTTAAAAAAAAAACTGCTCTACTGTTTTTGATACAAAATAGTTGATTGATTGATAGTTTATTTTTGTTGCAAAAAGGGTGATAATTGTGACCATTGATCACTTCAGCAATTACAACTGGCCGAGTTGGACTATTTTTTTTTGGTCGAGTTCGACTATATTATTAGAAACTACGCTCACTTTTGCAAAACCATGCCCAAAATGTAACCTGATGTTCATTTAACATATATTTTTGTTATTGTATTTAATTTTTTAATTGGTCTATTAAGTCGTTATCACCCATGTCCAAGGTGAGTAAGCAGACATTTCCTTTTGCATCTGTATTACCGGGTACTAGTATGTAGTATTCCGCTTTTACAATGCAACAAGTACGGAGTGGTCTTTCTGGGTGTGCAAGTGGTTGTTACGGAGGAATGGACTGGGATGGGAGAACAGTATAAACAAACAAAAATAAAACTCGAAACGTTTAATATGATGTCATTATTACAGTGTACGAATCTTGGGACAACTAGAACTCAAAAATAGTGCAATTCACAACACGGAAACCGCAACAAAGCAAACGAGGCATGATCTCCGACCTGCAAATTGAACGAGAAATGGCGTCATTTAACGCAAAGACGAGAAACGTATGTTACCTTGGATTGAAATCTTGGAATAGCCCTTTCAAGTTCATTTCTTTGGATCTGTCTCAGCGTAACATACGTACATAGATATCCATTAAATCACAAATCATAACAAACAGATAAAACATAATAAAAAGTTAATCGCCATCTTCCTCGAGAGTAACATTTGACCCTTGACTCGTCATTTTCCTTCGTGTCACGAACACTGAGGGCGCAAACAGGAAGACAATATTATCCCTGTTGCGAAGGTCAAGTTCGATTTACAGTGGTGAGTAGATGAAATAACACATATTTTGTAAACACTCACAGAACGATTTGTAAAAGTTTTAAATTCTACAAACCTAACTCACACTTGAAAATAACATTATAAATTTGAACATAGACCCTGTGATTTGAACCGAATATTCGTTCCTCATCCTGCATTTGTAAATGTGTACGTATTGTGTATTCATATGCAATATTATAAAGGTATAATATCATCTTTTGTCGCTAAACTGAATTTATTTAATTCTTCAAGGCTCCTAGAAGTATCACCAAACGTATTTCCTTATTATTCCTCTGCTGTCAAAATATATATCGAATTATAGTAGTTATATTTAGGGTAAGGGTTATATAAATCTTATTTTACTTTCTATGTAACCATTGCCAATCTACATAACATAAATCTGTTTCAATCTGTTGTTGTCAAGTGTCCATGCAAATATACAGTGAGAAACAGAAAGCTGAGCCTTAATTTATAAACTTGCTGGTTTTCTAGTACTGATCATCAGTTTTCTTTCAAATTCAAATATTTGAAAGTGATTGGCTGGCTGTATGAGTTATTAAGATTGATAAAGAGATAAGATATTCATACATGTTGTAAAAATATGTAATCTGTGTTAATGGTAACTGTGATGATCCAAGATCACAATTCACACACTAACTCTGCTAGAAATGCTATGATTTTGGATCAGATATATAGAATCTCCTTATTTTGTACTGTACAGATACAAATAAATACATAATAAATAGGATTGGAATGGTTGCAGAAATGAATAAAGAAAAACAAATCATAATACATAAAATGTGAATAATTAGGTGGTCTCTCCAAGCATAAGTTGTCTTACTTGAAAGCTATAAAATATAAATTTACCAAGGTTTAATTCTGAAATAATGAAAAAAACTTTATCTCTGAAGTCGGGGAGTAATATTACTGTGCAATGCAAGTAATACATCACCCTATATCTGATCCACTTTGCGATGTGGGTCACCTGTTAAATATACAACACTCGTAAAATACATTGCTTGTTTACGAGAAATTTAAATGTATAATGCTGTATTGTTTATGTCATAGGAAGTTGTGTCAATTAATAATTGGCATAAAGGAGTAACCATTGGATGGAAAAGAGTATCATTGCGACCATGGAAACAGTCACCTGAGTAACTCACTAAAGATTATCACAGTATATGGTATATCTTGCTGATGAAACCAATGTAAATTGATGCAATAAACATGTTTATGTTGACAATGACAGTTGGCATCTTTGCTGTCATCTATCAGTTCGGAATTCTCTACAAGCTGTTCTGCATTGCGCTGTACCTGTGTGTTGGTGTACTTGGGTTTATCCTGGGTTTTGTTGTGGTGGCTTGCAAAGGGAGGAAGAGGAGACCTTCCCAAATGCCTGGCGACGCATCAGTTGCCAATGCATTGCTGTGTAAAATGGCAGTAAGTAGCATTGATAAAAATGGTTGTAAGGGACTGACCATTAGAAAATATGGGGTGGGGTAGATTTTGATAAAAAAATAAACTGCACAGAGAAAATTTGGTAGAATTTCAGTAAAAAGCACACATATTTGATTGAGGAAGCAAAAGAAATGCAACGTCATTCTGTGAAAAAATGTAGATCAAAGCTGACATTGGAACAAGAGGCTTTAAAAATTGGAATGATCATACTCTAATAAACAGTGACTTCCACTGATATCATGAATATGACGGTGATCGTCACCACTGGTATGGAAGTTTGAAAAGATAAAGTTATCTTCTATTTTGGGCCTGAATTATCCTTAATTTTTCTTGCCTTGCTGTCAGAATTGCAGTGGTGTGTTATTTTGGCTATCAATGAAAGCTTTCAGTGGATGATATGTTAATGTAAATTTTGAAGCATGTGATATAGGAGAACTTCCACATCATTTATTAGAATTTTGTGCAATATTTCTATTAAAATTATATTTTATACAATTTAGAAAATTGAATTATTCAAAGATTTATATGATATTACCTAAGTATCTCAGAATGAAAAAATAACAAGGATGCTTCTAATGATATCTCTTACTTATGCAAATTACTAAAAAAAATAAACTCACTATGGGTAAAAAGATGTAATACATGTATAGTGATATCTGTTTTCTTAGGAGTATTTGGAGCAAGATTCCCTCAGCAAACCAAGGAGAACGGTTATATCAAAGAATATGGATGAAGCTATAAAGGAAGGTGAGCTGTGATTGGTTGTTGCATGTATATGCTATATGTAAATCAATCTGTGATTGTTTGAACCATTTACAATAATTATATAATTTTTCTTTCTTTTTCAGTATTTGATTTGATAGTCCAGCATTACATTCTGATCTGGTACAGTGACCTCAGTCTGGATTCCAGTTCTTTCATAGCAGTATTAGAGTAAGTAATGACTTTTCTCTCTTATTGTTGAACCTTGATTATTAATTTTTTTTTCATTAGTGAATCATGTGTCATATCAACTGACTGATCAATTTTTCTATACCAGAGGCTCACTCTACGTTTTTATTTGAATGTGCCTTGTTTTTTGCTTGAATGTTTTGCTCTATGTATCCAAAGACTGTCAACTCTTCATTCTAATTATTAAGTTGCTATGAATTATGGCAAAAAAGTATGCAGTTTTAGTAAATTATCTAAGTCACAATACACAGTATATTTACAGTGATTACTTCTCTATGCGCTCTCATTTCTTCAACTCAAAGTAGAGTTTGGCAAATCACAAAGTTATTGTTTCAGGGATCTCCCACTTTTATTCACTTTTATCATATATTTGATGGGAAGATTTCAACTACCAGTAGTTTACAATCATAATTTTTCTATTCCAGAGATGACATGTGGGAATCAATAGAAAGATTAATGCATCGGTTTGCCAAAGTAGACCTGGTAAGTTGTCATCATTTATTTGCATACATCATTGTGATTGGCTGAATTTTTAATTTATGCAAGTATACATCTATTAAAGTTTTGCTCTGAGGAGTTTACAATAGACTTATCAGTGTTTTTATCTAGTGTGTAACCTATTTCATTATAGAAGGAATATATTTTAATAAGGCCAGAGAAAAAAATGTGCTTTCAGTACAAACAAAATATTGAGTAGGCAGTTGGGATTTGTATTCGATGTTAGCCCAGTTAACTGTTTTATTTACATAGTCAATTTCATGTCTTGAACTTCGGAGTTGAGAGGGTACCCATACTCAAGGCCAAAAATGATAAAATGGTCTTTGCATATAGGGATAACCCAGGCAATATTGAAGGGCACCGAGGCAAATTGCAATTCCCTTCTTGGCCTCTATGAAGTTCAAGCCCTAAAACATAATTTTTCTGAGACCTGTTGACATCTGCTGTTGATCATGTGATCATCATCTGGGTGTTCTCTCAATTTTTTTTTTTTGTAGGTAGAATAAAAAAAACAAAAAAAAAACAGACCACTGTAAAATACTTTATTTTTACTTGGAATTAATTTTTGCTGAAGGAACGATTCAGTGAAAACAAAATTCAGCGAATATACCTTTTTTCCTATATTTTACATTGAACTCGTCAAAAATCAGTGAAAAATACATTCCATACAAATCACCTAAAAAGTCTTTTTCAGCGAAAATTAATTCCAGCTAAAAAAAATAAAGTATTTTACAGTATTGGTAATTTGTAAAAAATATAAGTTTGAGTTTCACAGAAATGTGGGGAGGTAGGGTAATTGGAAAAACAAATATTGTTTCCCTTGACCTACTATAATTGAACTTGACAAAAGTAGTTGCAACAGCCTTCAATATGTGTCAGTACTATCGATTTATTCCATTCAGCATACTTTGTGGTATCCTTGTAATAACTTCATGTAATTGATGACATGTTGTTTTGTCCACAGGTCAGGTTCATTACAAAAGATACTGTTACTAAATTACACAGTCATTTCCAAGACTTGAAGCAATCAGCATCAAGGTACCGTACCATGCGTGATCAACCTTAAATTGCACTTCAGTAGAATAACAGTTACTGTGTATTCTCAGTTGTATTTATTTTGACCAATTTTCAAATTAAAATGGTGGCCAAAGTAGGATTAATGCTATTATGTAATCACAATGTAAAATGTTTCCATGGAAACAAGTTTGGAATTATGAATTTGTTGTGCTTTCAAAATATCCAGATTAAGTACATGTACAATTCAGTAGATATTGCACTGTCTGAATACATACATGCACATTTTACACTGTTTAGATACTCAGTAAAAAGAATATTTGCATATTCCTTGTTGCCAAATTTATCAATTACATTTATTTATTTGTTGCTTTAGATTATGGTTACATATATATATAGAACACACTTCTAATTCTAAAAAATCTTCATTTCAACCTAAATTTTAAAAAAACTACAAACTAAATTTGTTGTCTACTTGTCCATGTCTAGAAATCCTGATGACATCACGTCACCGTTCTACCTCCACCCATGCCTGAATAGTGAAGATGCTGAGTTAGAGTTTTTACGCAAAGCAGCAGATGTCCTTATATGGACTATGACGCCTAAGAGGATCGGAAAATGTGCCACGGCCAGACACCTTATAAGGGAAATAATAGCCTGCCAAGGTATCACTCAGTGAATATTTTTGAATAATTAAATTTGTTCACACCCAACATTTTTAATTTTTTTGTTTTATTCCTGTTATGTGACACTGAGTACATCAAATTACACATTCCCAGCATTCAGTGCTTTGTAAATCACAAGTAAGCACTTGTGTGGCGCGTCTATAGTCAAAATAAGCTGTATGTAAATGTGGTAATGTGTTTCTACCAGCACTTATGCTTATTTCTTTAGTAATGAAACCTGCAGAATACCAGAATAATTATGTGCAAGGAATTATGGGTATTATGGGTAATACAACTTCGTTCTGAATAAATGTCTCCAATTTTTGTCTCCAATCTCCAAGAAAATTTAGATGTGACATAAATCAATTTAACTCATCCAAACTTTTCTCCATTTTTTTCTTGTATTCTTCAATATTTCTGGAAATACACCATAATTTTGGAACCAATAGACAAAATATGAGTGAATTTTCAGTTTTTACTATTTTTGGCTATTTTTGTCCCAATCTTCTGAAGGAATGTGCAGACTATAAACGGGACAATGTTGTGAATTTGTGATGAAAATTTTTGTAGCAGTGAAACCTTACATTATTAAAGTCGTTGTTGTTCCATTTCTCATGTAATGAAACCGAGTAAGTGCTTGTTGTTCCATTCTTCCAGTTAGTCATAAGTAACCGAACACTTATATTAAAAGTAGTTTGTGTTTTATTTTTTATAAACAACTTCTTTATCCAATTCGGCATGTTTGTACTTTCTTTCCTCCAGTAATGAAACCATGTGTTGACATGATCTGTGACCCGGACTACATCAATCTGACCATACTGAGTCATTTGGAGTACAGAGAACAGTTGGCTGAAAAACATAAGAGAACATATGCATACGCTGCAAGTTATGAAGATTTTATTAAATTGATTAATGCCTGCCATGATATTGAAGAACTCAAACAAATCAGGTGAGACAGTATTTGATGTATGCATAAATAAAGTCTACTTGCAGAATTAAATTTATGAATTTTAATTGAAAATTGAAACAATTATTTCATTAACAAATTACTTACACATTTATTTGGCCTGATGAGGTCGCGTGAGTTGCGCTCTCCACGGTGCTCCCAACCCAACACATGCCTGACAGAACAATGTAGTTTTTCACTTACCCTGACGATTTTTTTGTCGGTACCAATCAAATTGCAGGAATGTCAGATAGTGACAGCCATCAAAGAGTAACCATTCATGGCAGAGTTTATTTGTTTGTTGACATAATGTGTAATAAGGTGCTGGAAAATTTCCGCCCAATGTTTATCATCTTGTTGAAAACAGTCTGTGATTTTTGCCGACAATGCAAACACTGCTTTGATTGACAGTGTTACCAGAACCACCAAAATGAATATTCATCACAAGAAATTGTGAACTTTGCAAATTTGCAGTATTGATTTTGCCGACGAGACATACACTACTCTGTCAGGTGTTAGTGAGGTCTGATGACATTCAGCCGGCGAGGGCCTACTCATGCCTACTTGTCAGGCTAACATTTACTCAGTACACCAAAGTCAAGTAAGCCATATACTTATTAACATTTTTATTCTTGTGCATTAATTAGAATGTTAGAATGGCCTATGTCATTGTACATGCTCATACATTGTGTAACTACCATTTGAATTTATAAATAAATAAATATTTATTTATTATTAACAGCACCAGACCATCGCAACGTATTGTGTTCAATAGGATTTCCATGAGACTTATTCAGTGTGTATTGCATTGTTTGTTGACACCAACATTTAAACATGCATTATATGATGACTGTAATGTTCATATACTCAGAATAATGTCATGATGACATAACACCCTCTATAGTTCAAATGTACTTGAATTTGAATATCATGTATCAGGGTCATAAGTGAAATAAAGTAGTTCTACACCGGTAATCAGTGTCATCTGGTTGCATTTCTTTCGTACTCAAATCCTACACTGGCGACGAGGATGCTCACTATTTCTATGTATGCATATTCAAATTGAAACAAACTATGAGAAAAGTAACAAATATTAACAAAATAATAACAAAAGGCAAGGTCACCAGAGTTTTAACTATGTTTAGTTCTATTTCAGATGCTTGTCAATAATAAGATAATTATTGTCTAATTTAAATGATACCAACATGCAGTTTATTGTGTAACACTATGAATCTCTTAAATTCACGAGAGAAATTTTCATGATTTTCACAAAATGTCATCTATTCACTACGTTCAATTACCCACCATAGACTCCGGTCAGTCAAATTGAACTGTAGGCATTAATCAGCGATTCTGCCGGTGACGGAGAGATAGAATCTAGGTCAGGGGAAGCCTCATGACCCCAAGATTCTTTTACCCCTTACGTCACAAACCCACGTGACCAAGGCCACATGGCAGCGCCATAGGCAGCCGTACAATCACTCTTCTTTCATCTCCGCCTCGTCGCGAATGATTCTGAGCGGCTCTGCCTGGCTCTGTTGCTTTTTGGCTTTGGTCGAAGGACTGTCGGAGCAATTGCGTCCCTGGTCGGAGCGAGCTGTCTCCACTGTGTCCCCTCGGTGGGCAAGCAGGAAGAAACACGAAAGCATGTTTGCATTCAAACACGTCTCTTCCGGGGAACCCCCGTTCCCAGCCGCGGCTCTCCCACTAATTTTGGGGAGACCGAGGCTCAGGTTAATTGCATCGGGCCTCCTCTGGAGCCTCGGGCACTGAATGCCAACGGGGTGCTGGCAGCCAAGCCTCCGATCTCGGGGCAGGGCTTTCAGGGCAGGGCACACGTTGACCCCCCCCCTACTTTCAGCCAGCTAGGGTTCGTCACGCGGTAATGGTACAATGGTAAAGAATTTATCCTTGTGTTCGATTTCTGCTGTGGGTTTTGACTCCCTTCATACCGACCCATTAAAGTGAAAGAGGACGCAGTTCGCTCGCGTTGGATACAGCCGGTACTCCGGGCGGTCCCTCAGAGTCTTCCATCCGTATGACTCGGTGGACACGCTTTTGGGGTGATGCAGAGTATCATTGATCCCAGTGATACGATGTAGATACCCCCACCCTTGATCCTTAGGCGACCACCTAAGGTTGCTTCAACGCTTATGGGATCACAGGCGTCGGGATCCAAAGCAACCCCATCAGCACGTCTCTCCCTGTCCGTCCGAGTGCAGAGTGGGGCGCAGATCACGCAAACTGTGTTGATAAGCGGCGTTGGTCAGCCGCGGAAGCTGTAACGCTTAAGGCCCCCGGGTGGGGAAAACATTAGGCAACACTTCCCGCTGCACCAAACGCTACCCGGTCGGTGTTGTTTTGGGATCAGACCCCATAGTGTGGGATTATACCAAAACGCCCCAACCGGATTCCAAGGCTCCTTCCCCAGACCCCGGTACCATGAATTTGGCAAACCGGGCAAGGTGGGACAGCCGCGTTCCATGGGCTTCCTTGTCAATCGAAGACGACCCATTGCTTGAGCGCATTATTGTGCGTGCCCAGGACTCTGGAGACCTTGGAGGCAGAACGCACCAGCCTTCTAGACCAGGCGACATTTTTAGTGGTGGGCCACCGCACATCTACGTGCGACACCCCCCTAGTGTCACCTGGCTCTCTTGGCCGGGGCCACTACTGTGCTACGAGACGCGGCCTTAGACGCATGTGTTTTCGCCGACAAGCTGAGTCGGGCTACGTCCCTAACCTCAGTGACGCAGACTGGACATCCTCCACCCTCTTTGTTCAGGGAATGGTGGGTACAGTCTCGAAGCTTCGGAGTTCAAATGAACCAGAGGGTTCAGATCGAATCCGCTAGCCACAGTTGGCCCTGTCAAGGGCAAGCGGAGGGCACCCCAAGCACAAAAAACACAGAAAACACAACGCCCTAGGGCGTCGTCCGCTAGCCACAGTCAGCCAGGAGGCAAGCGCTAATACCCTTTCATGGGAGGGAAGAGTAGTGGCGCACCCCCAGGAGGGAAAGCGCCAGGTGGTGGCTCCTCACCCTCCCTGGGCAGACATCTACCCATCAGCGTAAGAAGCATGTTTGACGCTCACCTCTGCAACCAGGGGGGACAGGCATGTGTTTGGCGAGTGGCCAGGTCACAACTTAGTGACTACTTCAGGCCTTGGGGAACTCACCTCATGGGGGAAGGGAGCACCCCCTCCCCTCGCAACTGCCGAACCCATGGCCACATATCCCTGTCGTACACAGATTACGCCGGTGTAGTCCGGTTTGGAGACAGCGGGTGACCGATCTCTGGACCTTTCCAGGTGGTGACATCCTGTTACGGGATACTGCTGAAATCTCCATTTCCCCCGTCAGTGTCTCCCCTGTTGGGCACTGACAGGGGACTCAATCAGACAGGAAGTAGCAGTTTGCTGGGAAAAGGCGCCATACACAGGGTACATCAGCCGGAACTAAGTCCAGGCTTCTACCCAAATGTGTTCGTAGTACCAAATCTACAAGTGGCGGCGTCCAGTTCTGGACCTAGACAGACTGAATCAGTATGTGCTCCTTGATCGGTTCCACATGGAGACACCATTCAGGGTTCTCCTCTCCATCCACTGTTTCGACTGGCTAGCCCCACTAGACTTAAGCGGGGCCTACCTGCACATACCGATGCACCCAGCGAGTTGCCATCTCCTTCCGAATTGCCCAGCTGGGCCAAGTATTC